ATAAGCAATTTGTCTACTAGAAGTCTCCAGTTAAGATGTATAACAGGCATTTCAGAGTTGATGTCCAAACTCTAATTCCTGTTGTTGCCCCTCAAACCTCATCTTTCATCAGTCTTTCCCAACTTAGTTGATGACAACTATATCCTTGTAGTTGCTCAGTTCAAAAACCTTGGAGTCATCTTGAGTACTCACTTTTGTTCATAGCTTGCATCCAGTCTTTGGGGAATTGTTATCTGTACCTTCAAAATATATTCTGAATCTAATCATCTCTCACCATTTCCATTGCTACCACTGTGGTCCAGATTTCCATCATTTCTCACCTGAATTATTGCAGTAGTCTCCCAACCAGGCTCCCTATTCTCATGCTTGCACCCATATAGTCAGCTCTCAACAAAGTATTCAGAGTGATTCTTTTGCAATCTCAATTAGATTATGTCAACTTCTTGCTCAGAATCTTCCAGGGGTTTCCCATCTTATTCAGAGTAAAAGCCAAAATCCTTTCACTTCCTACAAAGGCCTTGTGGAAGTTGTACTCTTTCCCCCTATCTTGCACCTTGATTTCTTCTTCTATTCTTGCCTCCTTAAACACTCTACTCCAGCCAGCTTGGCCCTTGCTATTTTCCAAACATATCAAGTATTCTCCTTCCGCAGGGACTTCATACTTGCTATTCCCTCTCCCAGAATGCTTGGGATTTCTGGCCTTCCACCTCACTTCCTTCAAGTCTGCTCTAATGTCACTTTATTAGGGAGGTTTTCTGTGACAAACCAATTTTGCAATGCAAAACCTAGAAGTTGCCCTCTTCTAACCTCCTTAGGAATATATAACTGATAAATCTTTAAATCTAATATAATTTTGTAAAAAACATTCTTATAATGATATTGTAAGAAAATGATGAAATAGGGCAATAAAATTTCCCTGAGGGACAAAGAAACTTAACAGAAAAATGTTGACCCAAAGCAAAAGAAAATGATTACCCAATATCCCAGTGTGAACTTTCAGAAACTCCATGCTTTAGTTAAATCTAAGAAGGGAAAATACATGGCAGAAGTAGATGAGCTCAGGAAAGAAATGGTCAGATAATAGGAGGTACTAGCTAGATGATAGGAGGGGGTGAAGCATTAAGTGATAGGTATCAAAGAAGAAACAAGAGAAAAACAAAACCATTACAAAAAATGAAGACTAACTTATAAGAAGCACAAGCAAGATGAGGCATGACTGAAAGCAGTTAGGGGCTCTTTCTAATAGAGATTAGAAATGAGAAAAGAAAAGATGAAACAGAATAAAAGAAAGACATAAAAAAGACTAGAGCAAATGGCAAATAATAGAAGATAGGCAAAATACTTAATTCTCCCTTAAGAAGAAAAGCAAAACAGTGGAACATAGAAATATTTATAAGCAAAATTTTAAAATATATTTTTTTCTGAGAAAAAGTCTTTTTGACTTATACATAATAATTTAGGGAAAATTTGCTCAATAATGGCCAACACAATATTCTACTAAAATCGTTAGACATCAAAAGATAAAGAATATAACTTTGAGAAGAAAACATAGCATAAAATCCTCATGATCTTGGGTTAGACAAAGTACAACACCAAAATCTCTTAGACACAACACCAAAATCACTTCCAGAGAAGATAAAATTGATAAACTAGACTTAATCAAAATTGAAAATTTTTGTACTTCATGAAATTGCACTCCATTGAAATAGAAAGACAAACCACAGAGAAAATATTTGCAAATCATATATCTGATAAAGGACTTGTATCCAGAATATAGAAAGACCTTAATAATAAAAAGACAACCCAATTAAAAAACCCAGTGAGAGAAATATTTTAATAAGCATTTCACCTACAACAGACATATGAATGACTAAATAAATACCTGAAAAGATGTACAAAATCATGAGTCATTAGGGAAATGTAAATCAAAACTGTAATGAGATACCACTTCACATCCATGAAAATGGCTATTATCAAAAGATAGGCTATAACCTATGGTGATTTTACTATAGCCATAGAGAAATTAGAACCCTCAGACATTGCTGGTGGGGGTATAAAATGGTACAGCCGCTTTGGAAAATAGTTTGGTGGTTTCTTAAAAAGGTAAACAAACAAGTAATTCCACTCGTAGGTATCTGCCCAAGAGAAATAAAAGCAAATATTTTTGCAAAGACTTGTATGCAAATGTTCCTAACAGAATTACTCACAATAGCCTAAGTGTAGAAATAATCAAAATGTTCATCAGCTAGTGAATAGATGAAATATAGTAGTCAGTTCTCATTATTCATGGATTCCACATGTGCAGATTTGCCTACTTGCTAAAACTTATTTGTAACCTCAAAATCAATAGGAATTTCCTGGCCATTCTTGGATATGCACATGTGCAGGGCAGCAGAAAAATTGAGTCACCCAACAAATATGTCCCCAGCTGAGGTCAGACAAGGCGACACTCTGCCTTCTTGTTTCAGCTCTATTCCTGTACACAGTTGTCCTTTTGCAGTCTATTTAGTGCCATGTTTTTCACTTTTTTTTTTTTTTGGCGCTTTTGTTGGTGATTTTGTTTAAAAAAGTATCCAGGCCTAGGGCTGAAGTGCTAGCTAGCATTCCTAAGCACAAGAAGGTTGTGATGTGCCTTGTGGCAAAAAATACATGTGTTAGAGAAGCTTCATTCAGGCATGAGTTATAGTGCTGTTTGCCATGAGTTCGATGTTAATGAATCAACACTAAATAGTAAATATGGTGTCATTAGACAAAAACACACACAAAACAAGTTTATATATTATTAGTTGATGAAAATGACGTGTTGCAGGAACCTAACCTTGCATTTCCCCTACAGTCAGTAATTCAGTATTCACTAAATTCAGTGTTTGAAGCAATTTTATAGAACATAAGTACCAGGAATAATGAGAATAGACTGTGTATCCATACAAGAGAATACTGTTCAGCAGTTAAAAAGGACCAAACCACTGATAGATGCAACAACATACATGAACCTCAAAAACATGCTGTGTATGTAGGAGAAATGAGAAATTGAGACCCCAAGGAACATGCCAATTCATAAATATACAATTAGAAAATTTTATTATTGAGTGAAAAAAATACCAGAATGCATATAAGTTACTCACAAGTGGCTAAAAAGCTACAGTTGTTATACATCATCCTACTTTTAATAGAAGCAATTTTTCAATTTGTGTTATAGGTACATTGAGCTTACTCTGACATCATCTTTTTCACAATTCTTTATCAGGCTTACTCTGAAGTCCTGATTTTCATAATTTATCAGGCTTACTTTCATATTCTGTTCTTCATAATTTTTATCAGTACCACCTATGGTTGCCTCTGTCCGTGCACCTGGTACATATGATTAGTTACACGCTTCAACATTCCTCAGTAACATTTCCCACTTGTAAAAGAATCCAGATGCAAAAGACTACATATTGCATGATCTCATTTATGTGACATTTCCAGAAAAGGCAAATCCCTTTTAATTTTTTTTATTTTTTCAAAGATTTTATTTTTAAGTAATCTCTACACCCAACATTGGGCTCAAACTCACAACCCTGAGATCAAGAGTCACACAGTCTATTGACTGATCCATCCAGGCACCCCGGCAAATCCTTTTCTAAAATTGAGATATAATTGACATGTACTGTTGTATTAGTTTTAGGTGTACAACATAATGTTTCAATAGATGTATGTATTGTGAAGTGATTACTACAATAAATTTAGTTAACATCCATCACCACACATAGTTACATTTTTTTCTTGTGAGAACTTTTAAGATCCACTGTCTTAGCAACTTTCCAGTATACAATATTGTTAACCCTGGTCACCATGCTGTACATTATATCACAGGACTTACTTATAACTGGAAGTTTGTACCTTTTGACCACCTTCACCCATTTCGCCTGCCCCCTCACCCCCACTTCTGGCAACCACTGATCTGTTGTTCTCTATATCTATGAGTGGCTTTTTGTAAAATGTTTGTTTCTTTAGATTTCACATATAAGTGAAATCATATGGTATTTTTCTTTTTCTTTATGACTTATTTCACTTATCATAATGCCCTCAAGTTCCAACCACATTGTTCCAAATGACAAAATTTCCCTCTTGTGGGTGAATAGTATTCCATTATATATGTATACCACATTTTCTTTTTTTTTTTTTAAAGATTTTATTTATTTATTTGACAGAGAGAGACACAGCGAGAGAGGGAACACAAGCAGGGGGAGGGGGAGAGGGAGAAGCAGGCTTCCCGTGGAGCAGGGAGCCCGATGCGGGGCTCGATCCCAGGACCCCGAGATCACGACCTGAGCCGAAGGCAGTCGCTTAACCAACTGAGCCACCCAGGCGCCCTCTTTTTTTTTTTTTTTTTAAAGATTTTATTTATCTATTTGAGAGAGAGAGAGAGAGCACAAGCAGGGGGAGCGGCAGGCAGAGCAAGAAGCAGGCTCCCCACTGAGCAAGGAGACCGATGCAGGGACTTGATCCCAGAACCTTGGGATCATGACCTGAGCTGAAGACAGATGCTTAACCAACTGAGCCACCCAGGTGTCCCTGTATACCACATTTTCTTATCCACTGATGGACACTTAGGTTGTTTCCATGTCTTGGCTATTGTAAATAATGCTATACTGAATATATGGGGGTGCATATATCTTTTTGAGATAGTGATTTTGTTTTCTTTTATAAATATCCATCATGGGGTTGCTGAATCACATGGTAGTTCTATTAATTTTTTTGAAGAACTTCTATACTCTTTTCCACAGTGGCTGTACCAATTTATATTCCCACTAACAGTGCCCAGGGGTTCCTTTTTTCCCACATCGTTGCCAACACTTGTTAGTTCTTGTTTTTTGAGAGTAGCCATTCTAACAGGTGTGAGGTGATTATCTCATTGTGGTTTTGATTTGCATTTCCCTAATGATTAGGGATATTGAGCATCTTTCCAGGTACCTGTTGGCCATCTGTATGTCTTTTTTGGAAAAATGTCTTTTCAGATTCTCTGCCCATTTAAAAAACCAGGTTGTGCCTTTCTGCCCATGGACAGTGCCAAGTAAGCATCGTTAAAGTCTCCCCTCCCACCACTGTCATGTCTAAGTCAGAGTCTCCGAAAGACCCTGAACAGCTGTGGAAGCTCTTCCTTGAGGTTTGAGCTCTGAAACAACCGATGAGAATCCAAGGAGCCTTTATGAGCAACGGGAACACTTATGGACTGTGTGGTCATGACAGGTCCAAAGTTTGTCATGTATGCCACTGTGGAGGAGTGGATGCAGCCACAAATGCAAGGCCACACAAGGTGGATGGAAGAGTTGTGGAACCAAAGAGGGCTGTCTCGAGAGAAGATTCTCAAAGGCCTGGTGCCCACTTAACTGTGAAAAAGATTTTTGTCTGTGGCGTTAAAGAAGACACAGAAGAACATCATCTAAGATTATTTTGAACAGTATGGGACAAGTGAAATGATTGAAATCATGACTGGCAGATGCAGTGGCAACAACAGAGGCTTTGCTTTTGTAACATTTGATGACCATGACTCTGCAGACAAACTGTCATTCAGAAATCCCACACTATGAATGGCCACAACTATAAAGTAAGGAGAGCCCTGTCAAAGCAAGAGATGGCTAGTGCTTCATCCAGCCAAAGAGGGCGAAGTGGTTCTGGAAACTTTGGTGGTGGCCATGGAGGTGGTTTTGGTGGGAATGACACCTTTGGTCATGGAGGAAACTTCAGTGGCGAGGGGACTTTGTTGGCAGTCGAGGTGGATATGGTGGCAGTGGGGACGGCTAGAACAGATTTGGTAATGTTGGAAGCAACTCTGGAGGTGGCAGAATATCATTATTTTGGCAGTTACAACAGTCAGTCTTCAAATTTTGGACCCATGAGAGGAGGAAATTTTGGAGGCAGAAGCTCTGGCCCCTATGGTGGCGGAGGCCAATACCTTGCCAAACCGTGAAACCAAGGTGGTTACGGCGGTTCCAGCAGCAGCAGCAGCTATGGCAGTGACAGGGGATTTTCCCTGCTGCCAGGAAACAAAGCTCAGCCGGAGAGGAGAGCCAGACAAGTGACAGGGAAGCTACAGGCTGCAACAGATTTGTGAACTCAAGCACGGTGGCGGCAGGGCCGAGCTGCTACAAAGAAGACATGTTTTAGACAATGCTCATGTGTATGGGCAAAAAACTCAAGGTCTGTATTTGTAACTAATTGTATAACAGGTTACTGTAGTTTCTGTTCTGTGGAAGGTGTAAAGCATTCCAACAAAGGGTTTTAATATAGATTTTTTTTTGCACCCATGCTGCTGATTGCTAAATGTAATAGTCTGATCATGATGCTGATATATAAATATGTCTTTAAAAAAATAAAAAACAAAAAATAAAAAAATTGATTGTTTTTCTACTGAGTTGTATGAATTCTTTATACTTTTTAGTATTAGCCCCTTATCAGACATATGATTTGTAAACATTTTCTTCCAATCAATAGGTTGCCTTTTCATTTTGTTGGTGGTTTCCTTTGCTGTACAGAAACTTTTTGGTTTTATGTAGTCCCACTTGCTTATTTTTGCTTTTGTTGCCTTTGCTTTTGGTGTCAAACCCAATAAATTATTGCCAAGAGCAATGTCTAGGAGCTTACTACCAAGTTTTCTTCTAGAAGTTTCATGGTTTCAGGTCTTATGTTTGAGTGTTGATCCATTTTGAGTTAATTTTTGTGTATGGTGCAAGATAGTGATTTTATTCTTTTGCAAATGGCTGTCCAGTTTTCTCAACACCATATATTGAAGAGACTATCCTTTCTTCATTATATATTTTTGGCTCCTTTGTTGTAAATTAATTGACCATATATGCATGGACTTATTTCTGGGCTTTATTCTTTCCCACTGATCTATGTGTCTGTTTTTATACCAATACCATACTATTTTGATTACTATTGCTTTGTAACATAATTTGAAGTCAAGAGATGTGATGCCTCCAGCTTTGTTCTTTTTTTTCTCAAGATTGCTTTGGCTATTCAGAGTCTTCTGTGGTTCCATGCAAATTTTATAGTTGTTTGTTCTATTTCTGTGAAAAATACCATTGGAATTTTGATAAGGACTGCACTGAATCTGTAGATTGCTTTGAGTAGTATGGACATCTTAACAATATTAATTCTTCCCCAAAAACCCAATGTTAATCCTTCCAGTTCATGAGCATGGAATATCTTTCCACTTATTTGCATCTTTTTCAATTTCTTCATGAGTGTCTTATAGTTTGCAGTGTATAAGTCTTTCACCTCCTTGGTTAAATTTATTCCTAGGTATTTTATTTTATTTATCTTAATTTGGGGGGGGCACCTGGGTGGCTCAGTTGTTGCGTGTCTGCCTTCGGCTCAGGTCATGATCTCAGGGTCCTGCGATTGAGCCCTGTGTTGGGCTTTCTGCTCAGCAGGTAGTCTGCTTCTCCCTCTCCCACTCCCCCTGCTTTGTGTTCCCTCTCTCACTGTCTCTCTCTCTGTCAAATAAATAAATAAAAGTCTTTTAAAAAATAAAATTTTTAAAAATTTTTCTTAGTAATCTCTACACCCAACGTGGGGCTTGAACTCATGACCCCAAGATTAAGAGTCATTGACCCTCACTGAGCCAGCCAGATGCCCCCTTCCTAGATATTTTAATCATTGTGATTCAATTGTAAATGGGATTGTTTTCTTAATTTCTCTTCATGATAGTTCATTATTCATGTATAGAAATGCAACTGATTTTTGTGTATTGATTTTGCATCCTGCAACTTTACTGTATTTATTAGTTCTAAGTTTTTTGATGGAGTCTTTAGGGTTTTCCATATATAATATGTTATCTACAAATAGAAATAGTTTTCCTTCTTCCTTTCTGATTTGAATGCGTTGTATTTTTTTTTTTTTCTTTCCTAACTCATCTGGTTAGGACTTCTAGTACTATGTTGATTGAGAGAAAAGGCAAATCTTATAAAGATAGAAAGTAGATAGAAAGTAGAAAGTCAAGGTGGTTGCCTGGGACTGGGAGTTGTGAATAGGGATCGATTGCAAATGGGCAAGAGGGATGTTTTTGGGGTGATGAAAGTGTTCTAATAATGGATTGTGGTAATGTTGCAGAACTATGTAACTATGAACTATGTAAATTTGCCAAGAATTATTATATTGTACACTTGAAATGAGCAAATATTATGGTATGTAAATTATTCCAGAGAGAGAAATAAGGAATTATTTAGGCAGCCAGGTAAAAACATCAAGTCACTTTTAAGGGAAAGAAAATTAGCTTCTCCTCAGAAACATATGACTTCTCACAGAAACATTCAACACCAGAAGACAATGAGATAATATCTACAAAACACACAACGCAAGAAAGTGTAGCCAAAATTATTGAATTGAACCAGTCTTTTTCCCATCTCCCATGATCTTCTGCAATGTGACCTTGCCACTCTCCCATTAAGAAGTGGGGTCTAATTTTTCTCCCTTGGAATCTGGGTGGGCCTTAGGGACTCTCTTGTAACCAAGAGAATGCAGTGGAAGTGATGTTGGTGACTTCCAAGTCTAGGTTAAAAGAAGTCTTGCAGCTTCTGTGTATGTCCCTTGTAACACTCCCTCCCTAGAATCTCTCTTAGGATGCTCCCTTTAAGAACCCAGGTACCAGGCCATGAGAAGCCAAACCACATGGAGAGCCACATGGGGATGCTCTGGTTGACAGCCCCAGCTGAGCCCAGGTTTCAAATCATCCCAGCCCAGGTGCCAAACTGAGTAAAGAAGACTCGAGATGATTCCAGCCCCCAGCTGTTTCAGTGCCCCCCCCCCCCAGAAGTTATAGTCTTTTCCCCAGCTGAGACCCCAAACCTGATAGAACACAGATGATTCATGCAAATCCTGACCCACAGAATCTGTGAACATGTAACATGGTTTTGTTTCCTGCCACTAGCTGGGGTGTTTTGTTAAGCCACAAGAGATAACCAGAACAGCAGGAGTATGACAGAGGTGATACTGTGTTCTTTGCATTTCGAACAGTCATTTGGCTCATGATTTCAATCTGTCTCATTACTCATGATGTTCATTTTGATCACTTGTCTAGGTGGTATCTACTATAAAATTACTCTTCCCTTTGTAATTAGTATTTTGTGCAGAGGTATTGTGAGACTTTGTAAATATTCCCATTCCTCATCAAACATTCAATTAATTTGTTTAGTTAAATCAATATGGACTCATGGATTTCTCTTTTATTCAATAGGTTATCATTATTTATTTTGATGCTCAGACTGGCCTAGATTTGGCTAGTGGGAGCCCATTTTAAGTTGCCTCCCATGCCCTTTTGACATGTGCCCGTAACTCTCAAGCAGTTTCTAACTTCCTATACAAGATGTTCCAACTTTATCTACGGTATGTGGAAACCAAGATCTGGCACTGGGTAGGCTCAGTGCTGTTAAGTTGTACAAACACACATTTATTGATATCTTAATAAAATCTATATTTCTGTATGTCTCTATATTGACAACCATAAGTTTACACCAATACCTCTGATTTGAAATTAATGCCATAAGATTCATTTTTGCCTTCTCCCTTTCCATATTTATTTGTCCTTTCTCTGATAATGAGACACCTGGTTCCCATTACCTTTAATGTATTTACTTATTTGATTAATCGCACTCTGTGTAATCATTCTCTCATCGCCAGCATGGCCCCATCTTCCTCTTCCACTTGGGCTTCTGTTCCAAGGGAGTGGCCACCCTCCTACACTAACATCTTCTTCACTCCACATGGGCGGTAAAATCCCATACTGCTCCCACCCCACATGAACATCTTCCCCCAACCCTGTGTCCTTACCCTGCTGTGGAAGCCCACTGTGGCATCTAGTGGTCTTGGACTGAATTGTCACAAGGGGAAGAGAAAGAAAAAAAGAAAGGGGGGAACTTACCTAACTTTTTTAAAGTTATGAAAATACATTTTAAAAAAGTTTTTAAGTATAATGCACAAGAGCAAACAAGCTTATCTTTAAGAAATCAAGTATCCATCCATAGTCAATTACAACTACCTCTTAGAGCAACATTTGTCTTTGTTTACAAATACATCAGCGGGTGATAAAACCTAACATCTCAAACAGATTGCTTACTGTTTATAATACAAACACATGGCTATGTCTCAATTCATATTTTAGGCATTTTAACTTAAAATGCACAGAGAATCACATACATTACATTTGTCATTTAAAAAGTTAATTAAATCACAATTTTAAGAAAAATCAAAGACTGTAGAGGTCAAGGTCACTTGTAAGAAATTGATTTTTTCAGAAGTCTTTGTCACTGAAACTATATAAGTATACAAAGTAATGAGATGTTTCTTTCCCTTTTTTCCTGGAAGAAGGCACTGTCACTGCCTATCACTGAAAAGCAGATACTGATTTATTGCCAGTAAGTAAACTTGATGCAACAATATTACATATTGCATCTAAAGGCAGTTGATAGCTTATCCCAATATAGGACAACCATGATTTACATTGTGTATTGGCCTGGATTTTTTTTTTTTAACGTAGTTTCCATAAATAGTAGGTTTTAGAGCTGTATGACCCATTTGGCTAAAAACAATACAAATCAGGTAGAACTCAAAAAGAGTTTACTAACTCAAAAAAAGTTCACTAATCAAAGCTCAAGAATAAAAATAAACACTGGCTAATGAACTCAGTACCTGACAACAGTTACTGATAAATACTCCAAAACATAAACTCAAGAGGACCACATTTATTTTTCTATACATAGAGCAATCATTTATTTAAATTATGGCAATGTGATTGTTCTCAAAAGTATGTTTATTTAGGGAAGTAGTGATTATAGAAAAATAGTTGAATTAATTTGCCAATGAAGTTGCAAATTCTAACGATAATCCACATCATCTTAGATTTTAAGTATGTGGTTTCATAAAGTAAACAAATTCTCTCAAAAAGCAATTCAATATAATTAATTAAAATAATTGCTTTAAGTTTCCATGAAAACCAAATAAGTATCACATTTGAATGATTTATATTTACATTTTTGGAATCTGGCCAGCGTTGAAGAGGTTGACCAGGTTTTTTATTGCTCACAGCAGAGGCTTGGGCAGTGGAATGTTCAGGTAGGGCATTTGCCATCAAAAATTCATCAGATGGGATGCCTGGGTGGCTCAGTCGGTTAAGTGTCTGT